GAGAACAGTGCTTGCTGGAGGCATCACTGTAGTGAAACAGTGCTTGCTGGAGGCATCACTGTAGTGTTAGAACAGTGCTTGCTGGAGGCATCACTGTAGTGTGAGAACAGTGCTTGCTGGAGGCATCACTGTAGTGTGAGAACAGTGCTTGCTGGAGGCATCACTGTAGTGTGAGAACAGTGCTTGCTGGAGGCATCACTGTGAGAACAGTGCTTGCTGGAGGCATCACTGTGAGAACAGTGCTTGCTGGAGGCATCACTGTGAGAACAGTGCTTGCTGGAGGCATCACTGTGAGAACAGTGCTTGCTGGAGGCATCACTGTAGTGTTAGAACAGTGCTTGCTGGAGGCATCACTGTAGTGTTAGAACAGTGCTTGCTGGAGGCATCACTGTAGTGCGAGAACAGTGCTTGCTGGAGGCATCACTAGTGTGAGAACAGTGCTTGCTGGAGGCATCACTGTAGTGTTAGAACAGTGCTTGCTGGAGGCATCACTGTAGTGTGAGAACAGTGCTTGCTGGAGGCATCACTGTAGTGTGAGAACAGTGCTTGCTGGAGGCATCACTGTAGTGTGAGAACAGTGCTTGCTGGAAGCATCACTGTAGTGTTAGAACAGTGCTTGCTGGAGGCATCACTGTAGTGTGAGAACAGTGCTTGCTGGAGGCATCACTGTAGTGTGAGAACAGTGCTTGCTGGAGGCATCACTGTAGTGTGAGAACAGTGCTTGCTGGAGGCATCACTGTAGTGTTAGAACAGTGCTTGCTGGAGGCATCACTGTAGTGTGAGAACAGTGCTTGCTGGAGGCATCACTGTAGTGTGAGAACAGTGCTTGCTGGAGGCATCACTGTAGTGTGAGAACAGTGCTTGCTGGAGGCATCACTGTAGTGTAGAACAGTGCTTGCTGGAGGCATCACTGTAGTGTAGAACAGTGCTTGCTGGAGGCATCACTGTAGTGTGAGAACAGTGCTTGCTGGAGGCATCACTGTAGTGTGAGAACAGTGCTTGCTGGAGGCATCACTGTAGTGTAGAACAGTGCTTGCTGGAGGCATCACTGTAGTGTTAGAACAGTGCTTGCTGAGGCATCACTGTAGTGTGAGAACAGTGCTTGCTGGAGGCATCACTGTAGTGTTAGAACAGTGCTTGCTGGAGGCATCACTGTAGTGTTAGAACAGTGCTTGCTGGAGGCATCACTGTAGTGTTAGAACAGTGCTTGCTGGAGGCATCACTGTAGTGTTAGACAGTGCTGCTGAGCATCACTGTAGTGTTAAACAGTGCTTGCTGAGGCATCACTGTAGTTTTAGAACAGTGCTTGCTGAGGCTCACTGTAGTGTTAGAACAGTGCTTGCGAGCATACTGTATGTAGAACAGTGCTTGCTGAGGCATCACTGTAGTGTTGAGAACAGTGCTTTGCTGGAGGCATCACTGTATGTGTAGAACAGTGCTTGCTGGAGGCATCACTGTAGTGTAGAACAGTGCTTGCTGAGGCATCACTGTGTGTTGAACAGTGCTTGCTGGGCACACTGTGTGTTAGATCAGTGTTGTGTGGTGATCATGTAGTGTTAGAACGTGTGCTGTGGATAGTAGTGTGAGTTGTTGTGAGGATGTGTGTAGAGTGTTGTTGAGTTGTGTGTTGTGTTCGACATATGTAGTGTTAAAAGTGTTGTGTGGTGTAGTGTGTGTGATTGAGTGTAGGTGTGTAGTTTGAGTGTGTGTGAGTGTGTGTGTAGAGTGTGTGTGGAAGTGTGTTGTGATGTGTGTAGAAGTGTTGTGTGGTGAGTGTGTGTGTGTTTGTGTGTGTGTGTGTGAGTGTGTGTAGTGTGTGTGTGAGTGTGTGTGTGAGTGTGTGTGTGAGTGTGTGTGGAGTGTGTGTGAGTGTGTTGTGAGTGTGTGTGTGTGTGTTGTGAGTGTGTGTTAGTGTGTGTGTGGTGTGTGTGTGTGTGAGTGTGTGTGTGTGATGTGTGTGAGTGTGTGGTGGTGTGTGGAGTGTGTGTTGTGAGTGTGGTGTGAGTGTGTGTGTGAGTGTGTGTAGTGTGTGGTGTGATGTGTGTGAGTGTGTGTGTAGTGTGTGTGTGGTGTGTGGTGGTGTGTGTGTGTGTGTGTGAGTGTGGTGTGAGTGTGTGTGTGTGTGTGAGTGTGTGTGTGTGTGTGTGGTGTGTGATGTGTGTGTGAGTGTAGTGTGTGTGAGTGGGTGTGGTGTGTGTGTGTGTGTGTGGAGTGTGTGTGAGTGAGTGTGTGTGTTGTGAGTGTGTGGTGAGGTGTGTTGTGAGTGTGTGTGAGTGGTGTGGTGGTGGTGGTGTGAGGTGTGTGTGTGTGAGTGGTGTGTGTGAGTGTGTGTGTGAGTGTTGTGTGTGAGTGTGTGTGAGTGTGTGTGAGTGTGTGTGAGTGTGTGTGTTGAGTTGTGTGTGAGTGTGTGTGTGAGTGGTGTGTGGAGTGGTGTGTGGTGTGAGTGTTGAGTGTGTGTGAGTGTGTGTGAGTGTGTGTGAGGTGTGTGTGTGTGTGTGGTGTGTTGTGAGTGTGTGGGTGGGGGGGGGTGTGAGTGGTGGGTTGTTGTGTTGTGTGAGTGTGATGTGGTGGTGGGTGTGGTGTGGGTGAGAGAGAGAGAATGAGCGCGCAGTCTGGACAGGCATCAATATTAAGAGTGTAGATATCAAGATGATGGTAACAACTTCCGGTGAGATGAGGCTTGGGTTGAGGGAGGGGGATGGGAGGGAGGGGGGGATGAAAGGGAGGGGGGGATGAAAGGGAATGGGAGTCAGGAGATGGATAATGAGAGGGGGGGGGAAACAAAGAGAAACGACGGAGGTGAATCTAAATATCAGAGGAGGGAGAGAAGGAAGTCGAGAATACCTGAAGAATGTTTCCGGGGGTCAGCTCCCCCGCAGCTCGGTCCCAGACCAGACCTGGAAGAGCATGGCCGCACTCCAACGCCCGGCTGGTCAGGAACTGATTCGAGGAACTTGTCCAGTTCCCTCTTGAACACAACTGGAGGTTTGTTGGGGATTCCACTTATTGACAAAGGGAGGACGTTGAAGAGTCGGGGACCTCTGACACTGAGTTCTTAGTGTACCCCTCGCCTCTCTGCCGAGATAATTCCTTAAAGGCAAGAGAGAAACGTTCTAAAATCACTAAAACGATGGAAAAAGAGAAGAGTAGCATAATACGTTCGTTTAGTGATAACCTTTCGCCCACACAGAGGACTTCATCAAGTTTTTGACTCTGAAAAAGTCCACTTTGTAGGCGAAACGTTGTCGGTAAATGTGTGCATTGTTGCATTTTTCTTAATATCTAAAGACAAAACGTTTCAGCAGTAAAGATGCGTAGGTGTTGCACACATCAATGCAGATGTGAGGATGCCGCACACATCAATACGGATGTGAGGATGCCGCACACATCAATACGGATGTGAGGATGCCGCACACATCAATACGGATGTGAGGATGCCGCACACATCAATACGGATGTGAGGATGCCGCACACATCAATACGGATGTGAGGATGCCGCACACACAAATACGGATGTGAGGATGCCGCACACATCAATACGGATGTGAGGATGCCGCACACACAAATACGGATGTGAGGATGCCGCACACATCAATACGGATGTGAGGATGCCGCACACATCAATACGGATGTGAGGATGCCGCACACATCAATACGGATGTGAGGATGCCGCACACATCAATACGGATGTGAGGATCCCGCACACATCAATACGGATGTGAGGATGCCGCACACCTCAATATGGATGTGACGGTGCCGCACACATCAATACGGATGTGAGGGTGCTACACACATCGGTGCAGATGTGAGACATGACTCATTAAAGCATCGGTCACACTCGCCTCACTCGTGTACAAGACCCTGGCCAAGCTTCACCAGGACGGTCAGGCTACACTGTCAGTTTACCATATTTTGATAGATTATCCAGTCTATCAGCGTTCACGCAGGATTCACCGCTGCCCCAACATGATTAATTGGCTGTATGACCCTTGTGGGTTTAGTGCTCAGTGTTGATTGAAAAAAATTAACTCTAACTGGCTTCCTCGCTGAAAGTCCCACCTAAGATGCAGACACCCTGTGACTTTTAACAGGAACTAACCTATTGCATCAGCTGTGATTGTTTTTTTCCTCTTGCTCTCTTTCTCTCTCGCCCCTTACTAACCCCTGACTTCGCACACTTCTGCCTTTCACTCTCGTTACCTTTCCAAATTTTTCCTCTCGCACATTTCTCCTCCCCTTCAGCACCGTATAAGCTTTTTCGCGTTTAGTGCTTGCTTTGACTGTAGCTCAGCAGAGGTGATGGTTTTGTGGGATTGCCAGCACTTAACACACTTTGGTTGACCAGATGGTAAGCTGGAAAGCCTGGCTTTAGACCGGAAAGCCTGGCTTTAGACCGGAAAGCCTGGCTTTAGACCGGAAAGCCTGGCTTCAGACCGGAAAGCCTGGCTTCAGACCGGAAAGCCTGGCTTTAGACCGGAAAGCCTGGCTTTAGACCGGAGAGCCTGGCTTTAGACCGGAGAGCCTGGCTTCAGACCGGAAAGCCTGGCTTCAGACCGGAAAGCCTGGCTTCAGACCGGAAAGCCTGGCTTCAGACCGGAAAGCCTGGCTTCAGACCGGAAAGCCTGGCTTTAAACCGGAAAGCCTGGCTTCAGACCGGGCTGTAGTCGTAGTAGAACCCTTGAAACAGTTACAGGTAAATACCACATAACACAAGACCTTTACAAAGATTCCCGTAATTTATAACTTAATAATGATATAATTTGCAGAAGACCCTCACAGTGTTTAGAGGAGACGTTAGACGTCCTTTCGGTTCCTCGTTGAACCTTCATCAGTCGCTAATTGAGGCACTGAGACTGTTACAATAACATTTACTCGTGAAATATTCGTAATTTATGCTTGGGTGTTTTGGTTATTTTACGATGTTTTTTCTGTGGTTTTCAGAGGTTTAATGTTTTTTTGTGATTTTTTAGGGAGTTAATGGTTTTTTTCTGTGTTTTCAGATGGTTTCATCAGTGACATCGCCCTGCCCAACGAGGCTTACGAGAGGGAGCTGGCACTTCAAGAACTGGCACTCAAGTCGTCCTCAGCCGCTGCCGCCCACAACCGCACCACCCACACGCCCGCCACCCCCCGCCCACACCGCCCACGGGACCCTCGCCGTCACAGAAGGAAAGAAGCGGAGCGCAAGAAGCGGCGGCGGCTCCACAAGAAGCATAAACGCAGGCGGGGCGCCAAGGAGCGTGGGCGTGGGCGGGGGCGGGGCAGCAAGCTGAGAGCGGGCGTGGGCGCCGCGGGCAGGAGGGCGCTTAAGAGATCGAGGGCGCGGGGCAATCTGGAGTACAGAAGACAACTGAAGGCCAGGGAGCGTCGGGCTGCTACTGCCAGGAAGGTTAGTGTCTATCTATATCTCCCTGTCATTATATGTATATGTATATATAATATATATATATATAATATATATATATATATATATATATATATATATATATATATATATATATATATATATATATATATATAAATACATAATAAACTTTGGCAATGCAATAACAAACAGACGATCTTAACAAAGTAGAATAAGCAACAAAGGAATGGAAATGTTTACCCCAAGATCTTTCGCGCACTCGTGCGTCGTCAGACGCTATGCAGTATAATACAGCAAAACATATGAACAGGAGATTCTCTGAGGTAAGGCAAGAAGGTGTCAGTGGCGGCACACCATGGGTCGTGTTAAATTAGACACATGTGCAGCTCTTGGGTATCTTTATTGAGGAAACGTTTCGCCACACAGTGGCTTCATCAGTCCATACAAAAGATAAACTTGAAGAACAGGAGAATGAGGTAATCAGTCCCTCAGCCTTGAGTCGATGTGGTCAGTCCATCAATCTTGAATAGAATACGGCATAGGAGCGGAGAAGCAGCTTATAAACAGTATGGCAGGAGAGGTGCAGCAGTCGTAGGTGGTGTCACATTTGTTCAATGTGGAAGTAGGTCGTGCCCAAGTGTTAGGCAAGCGAAGAATTCCTAAGTATTAAGATCCCAAGAAGTTGCAGTGTCTGACAGGATTGTAGATGAATGGTTCACAGAACCGACACGTTGTTAAATTAGATACATGTGCAACTCTTGGGTATCTTTATTGAGGAAACGTGTGGCGAAACGTTTCCTCAATAAAGATACCCAAGAGTTGCACATGTGTCTAATTTAACAACATGTCGGTTCTCTGAACCATTTATCTACAAACCATGGGTCGTCTCTGATACCTTCTACCTGATCTCTCCCTCCCTCTCTCCCTCCCTCCCTCTCTCCCTCCCTCCCTCTCTCCCTCCCTCCCTCTCTCTCCCTCCCTCCCTCTCTCTCCCTCCCTCCCTCTCTCTCCCTCCCTCCCTCTCTCTCTCCCTCCCTCCCTCTCTCTCCCTCCCTCCCTCCCTCTCTCTCCCTCCCTCCCTCTCTCTCCCTCCCTCTCTCTCCCTCCCCTCTCTCTCCCTCCCTCTCTCTCCCTTCCTCTCTCTCCCTCTCCCCCCTCCCTCCCTCTCCCCCCCCTCCCTCCCTCTCTCTCTCCCCCCCCCTCCCCCTCTCTCTACCCTCCTCCCACCCTCTCTCCCCCTCCCCTTCTTCAACATCCCTCAACCCAAACCTACTCTTTCGGTCTCAAATTTGTTTCCTCTCTTCCCCCTCCCCCACTCACCCTCTCTCTCTCTCTCTCTCTCTCTCTCTCTCTCTCTCGCCTTCCACCCCAACTCTTGTCTCTCCCACCCTCTCCGTCTCCTCCCCACCCTCCACTTCCCCCCCACCCTCCACTTCCCCCCCACCTCCACCTTTCCAGCAATTAGGATAAAAGCTGAGCAAATCCTGCAGATCAACACTAATCCTTTCTTTTGGATAGTTGAGGGAGGATGTAATACTCGAAAGGGAGAAAGCGATAGATAGCGAGAGAGAGGGAATAAAGCGTAAGATAGGAAGAGAGATACAGAAGACAGGAAGCAGGGGTATTAAGAGCAACAAAATAAGTAGTAGTAGCAGTGAAAAGGAACAGTAATCAGGGACTTGACTGGGAATATGGATATAAAGTTTGATCGTCCAACCTATCCCTACTTTACGTTAGTTTCGTACACTTTCCAACTTCGGTTTCTGAACGGATTCTATAAAGTTACTGATAACACTGCAGTGCTGGTTTTCTGGTTACATCAGCAGTGTGCTGCTACCCTGTTTGCTAGTTGTTTCACTGTCATATTCCATAACACAGGATGGTGTTTCACTGTCATATTCCATCACACAGGATGGTGTTTCACTGTCATATTCCATCACACAGGATGGTGTTTCACTGTCATATTCCATAACACAGGATGGTGTTTCACTGTCATATTCCATAACACAGGATGGTGTTTCACTGTCATATTCCATCACACAGGATGGTTTTCACTGTCATATTCCATAACACAGGATGGTGTTTCACTGTCATATTCCATCACACAGGATGGTGTTTCACTGTCATATTCCATCACACAGGATGGTGTTTCACTGTCATATTCCATCACACAGGATGATGTTTCACTGTCATATTCCATCACACAGGATGGTGTTTCACTGTCATATTCCATCACACAGGATGGTGTTTCACTGTCATATTCCACCACACAGGATGGTGTTTCACTGTCATATTCCATCACACAGGATGGTGTTCCACTGTCATATTCCATCACTCAGGATGGTGTTTCACTGTCATATTCCATCACTCAGGATGGTGTTTCACTGTCATATTCCATCACACAGGATGGTGTTTCACTGTCATATTCCATCACACAGGATGGTGTTTCACTGTCATATTCCATCACACAGGATGGTGTTTCACTGTCATATTCCATCACACAGGATGGTGCTTCACTGTCATATTCCATCACACAGGATGGTGCTTCACTGTCATATTCCATCACACAGGATGGTGCTTCACTGTCATATTCCATCACACAGGATGGTGTTTCACTGTCATATTCCATCACACAGGATGGTGTTTCACTGTCATATTCCATCACACAGGATGGTGTTTCACTGTCATATTCCATCACACAGGATGGTGTTTCACTGTCATATTCCATCACACAGGATGTGTTTCACTGTCATATTCCATCACACAGGATGGTGTTTCACTGTCATATTCCATCACACAGGATGGTGTTTTCACTGTCATATTCCATCACACAGGATGGTGTTTCACTGTCATATTCCATCACAAAGGATGGTGTTTCACTGTCATATTCCATCACACAGGATGGTGTTTCACTGTCATATTCCATCACACAGGATGGTGTTTTACTGTCATATTCCATCACACAGGATGGTGTTTCACTGTCATATTCCATCACACAGGATGGTGTTTCACTGTCATATTCCATCACACGGGATGGTGTTTCACTGTCATATTCCATCACACAGGATGATGTTTCACTGTCATATTCCATCACACAGGATGGTGTTTCACTGTCATATTCCATCACACAGGATGGTGTTTCACTGTCATATTCCATCACAAAGGATGGTGTTTCACTGTCATATTCCATCACACAGGATGGTGTTTCACTGTCATATTCCATCACACAGGATGGTGTTTTACTGTCATATTCCATCACACAGGATGGTGTTTCACTGTCATATTCCATCACACAGGATGGTGTTTCACTGTCATATTCCATCACACAGGATGGTGTTTCACTGTCATATTCCATCACACAGGATGGTGTTTCACTGTCATATTCCATCACACAGGATGGTGTTTCACTGTCATATTCCATCACACAGGATGGTGTTTTCACTGTCATATTCCATCACACAGGATGGTGTTTCACTGTCATATTCCATCACACAGGATGGTGTTTCACTGTCGTATTCCATCACACAGGATGATGTTTCACTGTCGTATTCCATCACACAGGATGGTGTTTCACTGTCGTATTCCATCACACAGGATGGTGTTTCACTGTCATGCTCCATCACACAGGATGGTGTTTCACTGTCATATTCCATCACACAGGATGGTGTTTCACTGTCATGCTCCATCACACAGGATGGTGTTTCACTGTCATATTCCATCACACAGGATGGTGTTTCACTGTCATGCTCCATCACACAGGATGGTGTTTCACTGTCATGCTCCATCACACAGGATGGTGTTTCACTGTCATGCTCCATCACACAGGATGGTGTTTCACTGTCATATTCCATCACACAGGATGGTGTTTCACTGTCATATTCCATCACACAGGATGGTGTTTCACTGTCATATTCCATCACACAGGATGGTGTTTCACTGTCATATTCCATCACACAGGATGGTGTTTCACTGTCATATTCCATCACACAGGATGGTGTTTCACTGTCATATTCCATCACACAGGATGGTGTTTCACTGTCGTATTCCATCATACAGTGATGGAATGTGAAAATAATTAAGCATTTGGCGAAGTCTACGGTGTTCGCCCGCCATCATTCACTTATTAACGTGTAACTTGGATAGGACCATTGTAGATCGGATTTCATCCACCACGGACCATTATCCGACCTCAAAATTGATTTGTTGTTTAATAGTGAAATGTTGTAGCCAGGTTACTGTGAATTGTTGCAGCCAGGTTACTGTGAATTGTTGCAGCCACGGTATTGTTAATTGTTGCAGCCAGGTTACTGTGAATTGTTGCAGCCACGGTATTGTTAATTGTTGCAGCCAGGTTACTGTGAATTGTTGAAGCCACGGTATTGTTAATTGTTACAGCCAGGTTACTGTGAATCGTTGCAGCTAGGATACTGTGAATTGTTGCACCTAGGATACTGTGAATTGTTGCATATAGGATACTGTGAATTGTTGCAGCCAGGGTATTGTTGCAATACATCTTCAGCTCTCAGTATTGCTCCATTTCCAAATTTCAAGGTAAACTGTAAAACATACTAAGGAGATGATAACGGTAGAGCACTACGGCAGGCCTACTGGCCCATGCTCAGAAGGTACTTTTTCAAACCAGTAGTTCCGGTGGAAGACAAGGGTATATGATAACTTGTAAACATGCAGTGATTACATCGACTCCAGGATGACGGACTCTTTACCTCACACTCTTCTGATCGTCACCATTCAGTGCCACGATCGCACGTGCAAAGAAAATGATAGGATGGATAATGAGAACTTTCAAAACGAGAGATGCCAAGCCCATGATGATCCTTTTCAAATCTCTTGTTCTCTCTAGGCTGGAATACTGCTGTACATTAACATCTCCATACAAAGCAGGTGAAATCGCAGATCTAGAGAGTGTACAGAGATCCAGTACAGAGTTCTGTCAAGCACCTTAACTACTGGGAACGCTTGGAAGCACTTGACTTGTACTCGTTGGAACGCAGGAGGGAGAGATA